GTTGTTCGAGGCCCTCCTGGAGAAGGTGAGGGATTCGCACCGGCTCAGCCATAGAGGGGCGAAATTCACGTGGAAGACGAGAGCGGTGGACTACATTACCGAGCAAAAACCCCTGTTCGAGTCCGTCCGCAAGAAGTGGCTGCAGCTGCCTCAAGAATCGAGGAATAAGTACAGGTGCGCCAACTACCTGGACACCCCCTTCCCGACGGAGTCCACCGCTCGGTACTGGTTCAACGAATGCAGGACGGCCTACCACAAACACAGGCAAACGTAAGCAACTTTTTTATTATTGTCCCAGACTACACATTGTTTTTTTTCCTTTTGTTTGACGCCTTATTGAAGTAGTTCATACGAGGAGCATGTCGCGTCTTGGCGGTTAGTGGGCATGCGAGGTCATCCGCATTTACAACCGTAAAGTCTGTCCGGGGATAGAGTGATTTTGACGTAGATACTCCATATTTGGGACACGGTAACGGTGCCAACTACAATGCCCACCGCATAAATTTGTCCCGGCGAGGAGAAGTATACGATAACGAATGTCCGTGCACCTTGTCGGGCACATTCAGGCTCCGGTGTCCATATCATCGCGTATTCTCACCTGCTGAGACTATTGCACGCGGGATGTTGGCGAATTGATGTGAGGCACATAAAGAACACTAGCACAACCTCCTTGTGGGGCACCGTCATCACGTTGTCCTCTCTCCCATTGTCGTGATCTGTGACCCATATGTCTCATGTGACTTTCTTTTTTGGGAACGAAGGTAGTCAGAACCAGTTTGTAGTTGTTATGCATTTCTTTTGCCCACGCTATTACCAACGGTTATCCACGTACATCGAGTGCAACGAGACTGGACACGTATGAATACTTCTGCCATGTATTCGCCTGCGATCGTTCTTCTCTACTCCTCCGTTCGTAAAGGCCGAAGGGAAACGATAAAGGCCGATTCTGGACTGACTACTCCCCGGTTTTCGAATCAATCCTCAAGCTCATGGAGTCCTCCTCCAACGACGGCAACGGCGATGCGGCCAGAGATGACGCTACCGA